GCCTGCGCGCTCTGGGTCTATTCAGGATCCAGAGGGCCCCAGTTGTCTCACTCCACTATTATTTTTCTAATTGTGTGAATTTAGGCCAGTTTCTCAGCAGATTTGAAGTTCAAGATGATTGTACTTTTAAAGGAGTATCATAGGGACTGAAGTATATAGCTCAGTGGTAGAGTGCTTACCTAGCATATGTGAAGCCTTGGGTTTGATTCTCAGGAACAAAAATATTTCTTGAACTTAAAGGAAAATGAATTATTGAGCATGACCTTGGGAAGACAGAGGAGTAAGAAGTGTCAGGAATACCATCTCTCTACATAGAGAATAGTTGTACTAACCAAAACTAAAATGAACTGTTTTGGAACTTAGGCATCTTCTTTGAATGCTTGTAGTTTCTAGAGGAAAGCCTGGCCAGTAACTTGCTTGGCTTTGGTAAATTCTAACTTTGAACATGGTAATTACTAGTAACCATAACCCACAGGTCAATAACAGGCAGTCATCTTCATGTTTCTGCTATAGTTTGCTGGAGCTAGGAAGGGAATAAGGACTTTGAGTGTCCTCTGTTACCACTTCCACTGGGCAAAGTGACTTCTAAACCACACATGGTTAGTTTTATTTCTTTCTTACTCTTAATGGGATCCAGGCATTTAGGAACTAAAACATATAGAACAAAAGCAGAAAAAAATATAGAAAGTCACTAGGTAGGCTCAGAGAATGATACAGGTTTAGAGAAGACATGAGAAGACCTTTTGCTTTGCGTTTATGATAATATGTAATAGAGAAATACTTCAAGTAAAAATGAAAATAGCAGTCATTGGGAAAAAGGGTACATCTAATTTCCAGAGTTACCATATTTTAACATTCAGATGTCCCATATAAAACATGCAAATGGGAATGTATGGTTTATTCAAAGGAACAAACTTCCATAAGACCAAATGTTAGACTTACGTGACAAAGACTTAAAAAACAACTGTCTTAAAGTACTTCAGATAAGCAAATGAAGATATAGACAGAGCCAGAGTGTCTATGACTAAAATGAGAATTAATAAAAGATTGAAATTTTTGGAAAAAACCACAACTGAAATGAGCATTCTATTATATGAATTAAGATTTAAATAAGCAGAAGTAAACTTTTAGTTGAAAGTGCTGAGTCGGAAAAAGGGGAAAAATAGAATGAAAAATGTGAGACTCAGAGACTTGTAAGACATCATTAAGTGGACCAATACCTACGATGTAAGAGTTCCATACGGGGGAGAGAAATAGGAAGAAAGAATATTTCAAGAAATAAGTGACTGAAAAGTTACCCAGTTTTTTTTTTTTTTTTTTTTTTAAGACATGAATCTACAAATCCAAGAAACTCAGCAAATTGATTAGGATAAACCCCAAATTCCCATACTGAGACAAATTATAAACTGCTAAAAGAAAGTTTGAAGTAAGTTATACTCACTGTTGGCTAATTTCTCATCAGAAAATTTACAGGCCAGAAGGCAGTGGATTTATATATTCAGAGTACTGAAAGGCAGAAAAAAAACTGTAACCTGAGAATTATGTATCTGGAGATTAAGATGTTCCCAGATAAAAACCAAGCCAGTCTACTACCACTATACCTCCTCTTCAAGCAATCTTAGGAGAAGTCCTTTTTTTTTTTGTATTACAGTCTACAGGGTCTCACTACACAAATCAGACTTGTAATGATCCTCCTGTTTTTCAGCGTCCCAAGCACTGGGATTACAGGCATGTGCCACCACGCCCAGTCTCAGTTGCTGTCTCATTGCACCCGAGGAACAGGGCTGGCATGTCATGCTGGGCACCGCAGGCCCCTGTGTCTGCCTAAGCAGGTGCTTTTATCCACTGAGCTATCTGGCTGGCTTTTAGATGGAAATGAAAGGATATTAAACATTTAACCCAAAGGTAGATCAATAAATTTCTGGTAAAGATAAAACACATTGACAACATACAGAGAAAATATTTTTGAATTTTAACTTCACTTTGTAAATTTTCACATAACTTTAAAGATAAATACATACATTACATATGGTATTGAGCACACATTGTATATTGATGTTAACTTGTCACAACAGAAAAGGAGAATGGATCTGTAGAAGCAGTTTTTACAAAAAACTACTGAAGTTGAGTTGGTATTAATTCAAGTTCGATTATTATAACATTAGAATTTTAAATGTAATCCCAATGGTTACTGCAATGAAGTTATGTATATAATATCCATTAAAGGAAGTGAGAAAGGAATCAGAATGCAAAAATATAAAAAATTGCCGAAACAATAGAATAAATGAAGAGTAAAAGATCACCCTATGATGCAAGTTGTAAACACATAGCAAAATGGCAAAGTAAGCCCTTTTTTATAAATCATTACTGTAGATGTTAATGAACTGCATGCTCCAAACAAGTCATATAGATTTGAAGAATAAACTTTAAAACATCATAATACACAAATTGATTAAAAGTGAAAGGATGAAAAATAAACTTTATACAAAAATAAAAGTGAAATGTGATGGTAGTCCTATTCTAAGATAAAAAGTTCACTACAACAAGATGTGAAAACTTAAGACGTGAAAATGTAACAGAACCTCAGGGAAGTATATGAAGCAAAACTTCCTGGAGTTGAAGGTTTTAAGACAAATATGAAATTTTGTAGTTGTTGGACAGTCACTTTGAATAATACAACAAGCAAACTGAAGTAAGGAAGAGTACTGGACTTGAACACAATAAATCAATTAGGCCTAACAGATACACAAAATATTACTAAATAACAACAGAATATACATTTTTCTCAGATATATGTAAGATTCTCCAGGATAGAAGATGGGTTAAGCCACACAAAACAAATATCAATATGTTTAAGAAAATAGATATTACACAAGGGCTGATCAGGTGGCTCAGTGGACTAAAGTGCCTTCTTAGGCTGAGTGCGGTGCCAGCCCTGCCCCCGCCCCTACCCAAGGGCACTCTGAGCCTGGGATGGTGCCGCATGCCTGTAATCCTAGCACTTGGACTGGACCCAGCCCAGGCGCAGCATGGGTGAGACCCTCTTCCAC